ACCCCCTTAAACAGGTGCTCCCTTAGAACGTCATTGATTAATTGCATAAAGACTGCAGGGCCCCCTTGTAATCCAAATGGCAAGACTTTGAATTGATAGCACCCCATGGGGCAGTTAAATGCAGTCTTCCATTCGTCCCCTTCCTTGATTCTCACTCGATAGTAAGCTTCCCTTAAGTCTAGTTTAGAAAAAAATTTCCCTTTCGATAGGTGTGACAGCATGTCTTTCATGAGGGGCAGAGGGTATAGGTTGCTTTCACTGATTGTATTCAGGGCCCTATAATCCACGCATAAACGTAAAGAGCCATCCTTCTTCTCTCTAAAAAGGACCGGGGCAGCCACTTTAGGCTTGGCTGGCTCAATGAAACCTCTCTCTAGGTTTTTTTTAATAATCTTTCCATTTCCTCCTTCTCCTTTGGGCTCATGGAGTATAATCTGGGCTTCGGGAGTTTTGCCCCAGGCTTGAATTCAATGGTACAGTCTGTGGGTCGGTGGGGGGGGGGAGCTCATTCGCCCTCTCCTCACTGAAGACTTCAGCAAGGTCTCTATATTCCTCTGGTATTTCTGTTAATCTTTTTTCCTCTCCTATGGATGCTTTTTCTATTCTTGATTCTGGTGGCCTCCCTTGGGGTTTTAAGTCCATAGGGTCCCCCTTCGGGAATTTGATTTCTGTCGTCCTCCAATTTACCCAGGGGTTCCATTTTTTCAACCATTCCATCCCTAGAATCATTGGGCATTCCATACCTGGGGTCACCACAAACGTTAAGTCCTCTTCATGGTTGCCCAGGGAGAGATGTATTGGCAAAGTGGCTAGGGTAGCTGGCACCCCCCCTGCTATGGATCCATCTAGCTGGCCAAATGAGATTGGTTGTTCCAGTCTCCTGGATGGGATGCCCAGATTCCCCACTAGTGTTGGGCTAATGAGGCAGCGGGTACAGCCAGAGTCTATTAAGGCTTTCACCTTCACAGCTTCGGGCATGGGGGGGATTAATATAGTCACTGTTTTGAAGATGGGTGTGATGCATCCACTTACCAGGGGTTCGCCCTCCGAGCTGTCATCTGAGGCATCCACCGGCCCTGTGGTGTAGGCTGGAGTCCTTTCCCCTTGGTGAGCAGAGGTGGGGGTTTCTGCAATTTCCATCATTCTCATGGCCGTTTGTTTTGGCTTAGCTGAATACTTTCCGGGTTTGTTGATTGGGGATCTGTCTGGGTTGTGCTGGGGGGCCTTTGAGCGGCATTCTACAGCTCGATGCCCTTCTCTTCCGCACTTGAAACATCCCATTTGCTTCTTGGCTGTATCCGATGATTTCACCGGTTGGTGTGTCAGCTCAGGCGGGGGGCGGCTCCATTGTTTTCCTCGGCGGTGCCTCTTCAATATGTCGATCTCTGCTTCCTCTGCCAAGACGTACCATTCCTCAAGTCGATGTGGGTCCCCTCGGGGCAGGCAAGCATCATATAGATCATAGTTTAGTCCGTCTTTGAAATGGCCAAGGAGGATGTCTTCTGGCCAATTCAGTTTGCTGGCAATGGCCCGGAATTCTTGGGTATACTCAGCCACTGGGCGTTTGCCCTGCCTCATCGTTGTTATTCTTTCACGGGCTTTGCGATCAGCCAGGGGGTCTTCAAATCGTCTTCTCAAAGAGGACATGAAACGGTTGAAGTTACTGAGTTCTGGGGCATTGGAGTCATGCAAGTTCACTACCCAATCCGCAGCTGGTCCATCCAGGGCAGATTGCACGATCCGGATGCGGGCTTTGTCGCTGGAATATCCTGCCCATATTCCTCCATGTAGCTGAGGACTTGGGTTAGGAAAAAACCCCAAGCGTGTTGGCTCCCCTTTGAATTTCACTTCCAACGGTGGACGTCTTGGAATGGATCGGTGCCTCTGTTGTGGGTGGTAGTGCCTTCCGTCCAGATTGCCATCTGTGGTCCGGTAGGGGGTGGGAGCTCCTGGATCAGTAGATGTCCCTGGGGTTGCAGGTTCCATGTCCCCCTCGGTGTCTCTCCCTTTGCGGCTCCAGGAACTGGGGCGGCCGTAGGGTTCAGTATTCTCCTCTCTTAGGGAGCTGAGAGTTCTCTTCATCAGGTCAATAGCTTTCTCTAGGATCCAGTCTGAGTACGGTGCCCAGCTTCCTCCCTTTTCACTTGCGTGCAGGGATTTCTCCATCTCCTGCTTCCATTCTGGTTGCTTGGTCCCCCTTCTCAGGGTCACCTTTCTTGATTCCTTTCCCCACTCACTTTTCTTTCCAACGCCCATCGACCAGCGAGGCTTGTGGTCCTGTGTCTCCACCACTTCTTCTCCTGAGGAATCTGGCCTCTCGGATCCCAACATCTGGCAAGGTTCCAACTGGGTCAGCGGCTCTCTTTCCAGGGAGTTTTCCCCCTCTCTTGCTCCATTGTCTGACATGGTAAATTTTTGCAAAATCCCCCGGCAAGGGTCTCCCTTCCAGGTGGATTAATTTTGCAAGTCCTGTCTAATGTAAGGACCCACCCCACTTTGCATCTTAAGAAGACAGAACTCTTGGAATAATTCTTCCAACAGGAATCCTTTATTAAGAGAAAATGGTTGCAGGCATGCTAGACAGGACTTGGGGTCCAAGCTCTCCCATTCAAGGTTTTAAGGGGTTCCCCAGTAGTCCCACCCAATCAACCCCCCTTCCAGTGATAGTTTCAAGTATCACAATTCCACCTCCTTTCTTCTTTCTTCCGTCTGGATGGAGACTTCAGATACTACATGAAAGGCAATTACCCTTCTTTGATATGTTTAACGCTTAGAGGTTACAATAAACACACATTCAGCTCTTTGAAGTGTAAAGAAGGAAGTGAGGGCCATAAAGCCCCTTTGCTCTCCCCCTTCTCTCCCTCTTATGGCAGAATCCAGAGAAGGCAGAATTGGGAGTTTCTATATTTGATAATTTAAAGATGAAATATAATTGGATTCTGACAGATAAGCTAAAAGAGTGACCTGGATAATTTGTTTCCTACTGGATTTACAAAAGAGGTTTGTTAAAATCATGTAAAACTCTATGCAGTGGGACAAAGAAGAAATGAAGAAAAATTCAATATTTCAATGAAGTAAAGATTAAGAGACAAAAAAATCCTCCTGAAAGAATAGAGAAGATGAATGTTCTTCCAGGTCAGTGATACAGAGTACTAATGAAAATCTTGCCCCAAGAGACTATACAGGTAGTCCTTGACTTACAATAGTTCATTTAGGGACTGGTCGAAGTTACAATGGCACTGAAAAAAATGACTTACGACATTTTTCGCACTTACAACCTTTGCAGCATCCCCATATTTATGATGGTTGCAGTAGCCCTGGGTCATGTGATCCTCTTTTGCAATCTTTCAACAAGCAAAGTCAATGGGGAAGCCAGATTCACTTAACAACCATGTTAGTAACTTAAGAATTGAAGTGATTCAACTTAATAACTGTGGCAAGACAGGTTGTAAAATGGGACAAAACTCACTTAACAACTGTCTCACTTAGCAAGAAAAAGTTTGGGCTCAATTGTGGTCATAAATCAAGAATTACCTGTAAAGAATCAGCCAAGTGAATTTAAAGGAGACAGTACAAAACAGTTGTATGAGTATTCAAGGGAGGCACCTTGTACAACAAAATTAAAAACAAAATTCTCCTCACCCCGCTACTGGTCATGCTTTACTGATTTAATGGAAATAAGAAGCACTGCATTTTCACATCACTTCAGCATCTCTAGAAACTTAAACAGATTGTGATGATTAACTCTGATAGACTTTATTCAAATCAGGGTTTGAAATCAGATAACTTTACAGATAATCAAATAGCATTCTCACCATAATGAATGTACTGAACTTCTGGAAAATAAAAACCATATGCCAGTTATGAATTATCCCAAAAATTCTTGAAAAAATAATCATAGAATCTGAAAATAGTGTGGAATCTTTTTCCTCACAAAGAAAACAGCAGTTAAGCTCCAGAACTTCTTCAGACTTTTTTTCTTCTGAGGTAGCTTTTTCCCCAAACCATTCAAACAAAGAAAATGAAAACTAGACCAGGGCTTTTCAACCTTTTCACCCATTGTACCACTTTTAGGATATGGCAATATCCGAGTACCACCAGTCGCCTAGCAAGGTGTCAAAAACTTGATGATCCAAAAAAAAAAAAGGAAAAAAGTGAATACTGGTAGTCCTCGACTTACAACAGTTCGCTTAGTGACTGTTCGAAGTTACAATGGCACTGAAAAAAGTGCCAAGCAAGACACCTGCCTGCCCACCCAGCGGTGCTCTTCCTCCTGTCCAAGGTTTTCATTGTTGTGAGCATTTCTGTTGAGACTGGCAGTGGGGGTGGGGTGGGGGGGTGTTTGTTTTTTATTCCCCCCGTCTGCTGGGTGGTTGCAGCAGGTTTTGGTCACTTCACATGACCCTGGGACACTGTGACCGTCATAAATATGAATCAGTTGCCAAGCATCTGTATGTAAATCACAAGACCCTGGAGATGTTGCAACACTGCAGCTGATCGGCGCTTCTTCTGGGCTCAACAGAAGCGGCAGGATCAGCACCGAGCTCCAGCTGGAGCCTGGCGCTGATCCTGGTGCTTCCACTGAGCCCTGACAGCCCCAAAGAAGCACTGATCCTGGCGCTTCAGCTGAACCCTGATAGCCCTGCAGCTCCAGCCGTCTCTCGCTCAGACTTGTGCGGTGCTGCCACTGGTTCAGCTCATTCCCCTCCCCAGCTACCATTTTATTAGGATGGTTGTGTACCACCTGCCAGGTGCCAATGTACCACAGGTGGTAGCCATACCACTGGTTGAAAAGTCTTGAACTAGACTATATCAAATCTTATAAGGTTCTAATGTTTGATGCCCAAACAACAAAAAAATGCTATTATTCCCTACATAATAGACAACATACCAATCTGTTTCATAAAGAAATCTCCAAACATCTTCAGCGTAAAACAGAATTTTGTGATAGAAACTCAAAGTCCCCATTAATTTTTGAGTTATGCCCAGTTAAAACTTACGTCAGCTTTAATCGTTTAACGTGGCCAGGCATTACAGGTACATACAACATTTTGACTCCCTGGACAACCATGATTGGTTCAATTCCATATTTTTCCTGTAACACACATTTTAAAAAATTCAACCATATCAGATAGAAAATGATGTATTTAGAAACAAAGGAAAAAACTCAATTTAGTCATTTTTATCTATTTTATATATTCTTTCCTTCTTTGGTAAACACACGTTATAAAACAAAAACTTCAGCTGATAATAGCTAATGACTTAAAAGGCATAATGTTTTTAATGAAATCTAACAGAACACTAATATGTCTCCCAATTATTCTACTATTATTAAAATACCTTACTTTGACAGTATTTATGAAGTCCAAGAGTGTGAAATCATCTTTCCCATGAATAATCCATCTATCCCAGATTGTGAAAGATATCCCATTTCTGTTACAAAATAAGAATGTAAAGCATTTTTGTAAATCCCTAAAATAGTGTTGGGGAACAAGGGATTATCAATCTGATGTTGCAGTTAAGCTTTCCCAAGGATGCTTTTTCATGAGGCAACTGGACAAGAAAATCCAGTTGCCTCGTGAAAAAGCATGTTTGGGATAATTATAACCTGGATAACTGACTCCACAGACAATTGAGCTTTTACATTGCATAGCAAAGAAAAAAATATAGTTCCATTTGTTGAATGTTGATAGCAGGTTACCAAGCCAATATCATGTTGAATTAGCCCCCCAGAGTCATTGACTAGATGGGCAACTATGGTAGAGAATTGGATAGGTAGGGGGAGAGAGAGAGAAACAGTGAAAAAAGAGAAAAGGGGGGAGGGAGAGGGGGAGGGAGGGAGATTATTAGATTATTAGGGAGATTATTAGAACAGCTATAGTAACAGAATATTACAACTACCTCACTTTAACTTCATGTGAATAGCGAGGCATTTTTGCAAATTAATTTCTTGAAATGGATTTAAACCGCACTTCTCTGATAGTTGTTTTGGTAATGGATTTTCCCACTGCCTATTAAAGACATTCCCCTATGCCTCCTACCTTGGATTGTTACCCATTTCTTTTAATCCAAATTTTCATTGTATCCTGCAGTGTAACACTATGAACACTTAGAGCTTTGTTCCATATGGAATATAGAATGTTTGGAAAGTTTAGAGTTCTATCCTGCCAGAACACAGCTTGGTGGGAATGTTCCAATGGGACATTTTAGGAAATGCTGTTTCTTAGAACACAATATTATTGTATATTCTTTGTATTGCCTACCTGGCAGCAGGTGATATTCTAAAAAATTAACTTTACTGATAAACTTTTCAGTTGCATAGTATACAGAGATTTCATTAGAAAATTGCATATTCAAAATATATCCTGTTTAATATCTTAATTTACCTTATTTCTGTTTTTCTAACTGCAGCTGTTTCTGTAAAGACAATTATTGGAATGGCTAAGTTGAAAAAACAGTTCTTATATGCTTGAAATGGGCAGACACCGACTACTTTGATCAGTTCCAAAGCAACCTAGAGAAGAAAAAGAAAGGAATGTAAAAGCAGGGAAAAGTGATATATTTCATCTAAAATACAACTAAAATAACAATGAATATATGCAACATACATAATGAACAACAGACTTGTGTATTTTTGTGTTTGAATAAAAATGCAGTCTTACACACCAAGCCAGATACAGCTGCTGTAGAAGTTGCAATAGCAGGGATAATTTTTCCAGCTATACGTTTTGTTTTCAATCTATCTGCGGGTTCAATGTTATACATTTTGGCACGCAAATTGGAAGCTGCTGTAATAAAGTCTATGTGGCCATTACTGTCATCATCCTTCTCAAAGTTAAGTTCCTTCATCTGTAAATCATCTAATCAGAAACAAAAATTCTTTATTAATTCATAATTATTTTTATTTATTATTAAATGCTTATTTTAATTTTCTTAAGGAAAATTTTGTTTATACTGATAGTACTTGAAAAGATATAAAATTGGAAATCTATTAGAAATATTAATCATTTGTCAGAAACTTCCTCTTGAATAAGGAAACAATTTAATAAAATGAAGGTACCTGTCAGCAAAAAGGAATAGATGGGAATTAACCATATTTTAAAAACATTGCACTTATAGAAAGAACTCTATAACCAAAACTTTTTCATTAATGTAGAATAGTTTAAAACTTACTAAAAAGTTGATATACATTTTGAAATCTTAGGAAAAGCAAAATTACGCATCTAACAAAACAATATAGTCATATAAATTTAGCTTGTTTAGCTGTCCTTTTGAAAAACAGGTTTACAACTTGAAAGAGTTCTTTATACTCTTTTGTTTTGCTCCTGGATTTTCTGGCATCAACTGATATAGAGTGTGTCATTCAGATTTCACTATTGTGACAACTATATGCAATAGTATGTGCTGGTAAATGTTTAAGAACCAGTTCTGCCAATTCCATTGATGCCATGTATTATGCCATTAGCCATAATACAACTTATTAGCATGCTAGGCATTGTACCTGAGCTCAGTCTTCTACCAGCTGGCAAAATTCCCACAATTTTATGAATCAGTTCTTGTGAACCAGTACAAGCTGTCTCCAGTACATCACTGTGCTTTATTCCTGAGGCAGCCATATTTAGACAAAGGCATATAATAAAGCATTCTATATATAGCAATAAGATTAATTGATCAATCAATAAAAGCAAATCTATTTTGAGCATCTTAAAAAACTTGAAAGAGCTTAACCAGACTACTAATCAATGCTGATTTCATGGAAAACAGAAGTCTTTCAACTGTCATAATACTAATAATTAATTTTCAAGTATTAAAGATGTGCTAGGTTTCTTAGTGAGAGCTTGCCTCCAGTAAATATTGAAAGAAGCCAAATTGTGTGTCATATCTGAAGTCAAATCTCCTCTGACCTGGCATTCAAACATCATATAAAATCCCTTTTCTGAAAATCTTTTTCTCTCATTTCCTTTCCATTGTGGTTCTTATTTTATTCATCAATTGTTTGATAATTTAATATAATATAATTAATATAATTGTTTTTAATATTTACATATATTGAGTGAATCAATCTAATCAAAAGTCAGTTTTCTATATTTCTAATAATTGATACTAACTTTTTGTAACTTTGTTGGCCAAGATGGCACTCTCCAATTGAAGAAGAGCATTTCTTTCATCCTCACTGCTTACAGGAATAGGATCTGGTTTCCGTACTGCTTCATCTGTTTGTACAACCTATACACATTAACAATAAATAGTACAACAAATATTTTTATTAAATTTAATTGAGAAAAATATTACTCCGTATTATAAAGTATAAGTAAAGCAGAGGAAAATACTAATTTCATTACAATACAATTTAAAGTAACACATTTTGGGATTGATATCAAACACGCTTAGACTGGAAAGATAAGTATAGAAGCAGCAGACTGGTAGATTATGCCTAAAAACCAAGTACCAAAATTCTGACTCAAACTTAGGGACGACTGGATGTACAGGTAATTCTCAACTTATGACCGTAATGGAACCTGCAAATGGAGTGAAAGATCTACATGCTGAAAGAGAGAAGACATCTCCCCTCCATGTGCAGAACCAGTATTTACCCAGCCTCTTGGAGAACAAAATACTGATTGCCAAAGAGGTGGTATCTCTCCTTCAGGCAATAGTTTTGTTCTCAGTGAAGCTAAATGAAGAAGAAATCCCTCCATGAGGGATCATTTTCATCAATCCTCTCTGAGAGCAAAATGCTGCTTACCAGAGAGTTCTTCATGATCCAATCTTCCTTTTTCTGTCAGACAGCCAGTTCCTTTCCCCACACCTGAGCTTCCTAGTCTAGCACATGGTGATGAGGGGAACCGGCTATCTGTGCTGGAGAAAGAAGGCTCAGCTCTTCGGGATCAGAGCTTTCATTCTCTGACAGACAGCTGACTCCCTTCCCCACTGTAAATTAGCCAAGGGGTTCCCAATCCTCGATCCGTGGACCAGCATCGGTTACACAAACAAGTGAAGCCCCATCTGCAGGATGCAGTCAGCATGCAAAACCACATACCTTCCGGTCTGTGGAAAAACCTCTCTCCACGGAACCAGTCCCTGATGCTCAAAAAGTTGGGGGCCATTGCATCAGCCTATATATAGCATTTAGAAACACTATTTGCTAATTTTCTGGTTTGAAAGCCATTTCATGCAATCTTTCTAAAAGATGGAAAGGCTTTTTTCAGCCAGAGTCTTTGAGAGTGACAGGGCTGCTTGGTGGAGAGTCACTGGCTGGAAAAGTCCATGATGAAATCAAAAAAGGGATTTTAGCCTGGGACACTTTTTTATTTATTAAACAAATTTATATAGCCACCCAACTCACATATATGTGACTCTAGGCAGCGTAGGCTAAAATTCCTCTTGGCTTTGGCCACAGATATTTTAAACCAGCATCTTTGTTTAATAATAGGGCTGTTTGTAAGATAGATGCCATCCTACATCAAGGCAAAATCAATCTGGCAGGCAACCCTTCAGCTTTCAATAAAGTTGGCTAAAAATGTTGCTCCAAAATGGCTTCTTTGGGACCTTTTGTCAGCCAGCCCTCAAGGAAACAGAGGGACTCCTGCAGCAGTGGATTGCTACCTTTTCTGCTGGCATCCGTATTGACTTTTTGAGAAAGCCAGCAGGGAAGATTGCAAATGGTGATTACATGATGAAGAGGGCTTGGTAACTTGTTGTAAGTGCAGATGGGTTGTGAAGACCCCAGATCACAATCATGTAACCATAGGGGCACTACAACAGCCATGTCTTTGAATCCAGGTCGTTTAAGTCTCTTTATTAAGCTGAACAGTTATAAAGTTGAGGAGTGTCTACACTGTGATTTTTATAAATGTGGAAAGTGGCACTATGTATTAACTAATAGAACATTTGAAAACAACTTTATATCAACCAAGAAGTAATTATGCATTAAAATTTTTGACTAAATAAATACAACCAGTTTACTTAGATATATATGCAAGTGTGTATGTATCCAACTTATATGGCTGCCTAACTTAAACAGATATATCTATGGGCAGCTGACAACAGCAAGATTTGTCAACAAGCTGCGGCCCTCACAGTATCCCTGCAGTCATGTGACCATAATTTAGATTCTGGCTCACACTTAGAAAGGTTGCAATGTCCATGGATATATGATTGCCATTTACAACCTTCCCTACAGGCTTCCTACAAGTAATGTCAATGGGGAATCCAATAAGGAATGTTCTAAGTCACTCTGGTTAAGTACCCTTCGTGTGCTTGCATTCACATGCCATCACTCTGTTCATACTACAGCCTTCCTGTGCTCATGCCACATCATTCATTTTCTGGCTTTCCTACATGCCCACTGTGATGTCCCCCTGGCCTGCATTCCCAGCATGCCACCCACCCCACCTTATTAGACTTGCACCCTGCTATCCACAAACTCAGTGTCAGTCCACTATGCAGATATCCTGTCATTCTGTTGGAAATGGGAGAGGAAGAAGTTTCTGGCATTCTTTGCATGCTTTTGTTTTTGCTATAACCACTTGGAAATTAGAAATGGGGATTGTCTCCTTCCCAGCAGGTTCCAGCCTGGTTCCAAGGCCATCCCTGAGAGTGATCCATTATCTACCCAGTATCTCAGTGTTCTCATAAACATCTCTATGGCATCATATTGGCTGCCTAATCAGTGAGACTCTTAATAACTCCCACCTCTTGTCCCAATCTCAGCCACTATTATAACTCTTGGGACTGGGAGTGACTGGATTGTTGTTGCTAAGGGATGTGCTTACATGATGCCACACTTTATGACTGAATCATTTAGCAATGACAACCACAATCTCAATTGCCATCATAAGGACTATTTGTAATAGAAGAAGTCAGAGACTTGTTCCTTGCCTTATAATTGCTCTTGTTATGGAAGGTTGTACCTATTCTATTTTTTCAGGTTTTTCAGGTTTGTTACCCAACTCACTGTGGCAGAACTTTTGTCGATCACAGGTTTTGCTACAAAAAAGAATGACTTAGGTTTCAGGTTTCCTTTTCTCTTCTTTGGGGTTTTTTTTTTCTCTATCTCCAGAATTCTGCTAAGAACACCCAAGTTAATTCATTCTATGTTCAGCACAATTTATTTCAGGATAACTAGCATTAATTCTCTGTCTGTCTGTCTGTCTGTCTGTCTCCATCCATCCATCCATTATCCTAGGCAATAATCAGAAAAAAAGAAAACGAAGATACACATTACTCAACAGTTGTACTTACTTTGTTAGAAGGTCGAAACTCTTGAATCTGTAACCCAGAAATTATCTTGAAAATAGTGTCCTGTGATACATCCTATATGTCATTAAAAAAAAACCCCAATAATTATTAACTGCATGAAACAGGCACTCTTCAAAGCTATTTCACTTCTCACTCCATTCCAAATCAAGAAAATCAACCATTTACATTTTAGCATGTAAATGTTAGAGCAGATTTCATGAATCTGAGTTTAGTTTATCAAAATATGACTGATAATGAAAAATATGAAAAATTGAATTATAATTGATCAGAATAAATATATTGCAAAAAAACCCCTAGAAAGCAGAGTATCAGGAATCAGATAATTCTGATTCTGAATTCAGATAAAATCTTCAACTCAGAAGCTTGTTATGAGGATTCTTACTCCTTTAAAGGATTTTTTTTTCTGTTTCTTGACTTTTCAAATTAGCCTGAAAACCTAACAAAAATAGATAAGTACAGTTAGTTATGACCATAATGGAGACTGCCCATTAGAACTGAAAACTGGGACAATGTTAAATGAGCTGCCTCAAATAATGAGTAGCTTTCTCTGCTTTCCCCAGTGCATTTCCTGAGTTCTAGCAGGGAGATCCTGGGAGGCCTAGCAGGCACAAGCCTGCATGCTTCAGGCCTCTCCCACCCTGCATGCTTTTCCTAATTCTGTTCCTGCTCTTCCTCCTGCCAAGATGCCCTGCGTTTTGAGGCAAAAAAGGATAAGTTACCTAGCCTTTCGGAGCTTTCTGCTTCAATCAGCTGGGCCCTTGCATATAAGCCAACTTCAGGACTAGCTTCCCAAAACATTTCCCTTGTTTAATCTCCTCCCTCTCTCAGAAAACTACATTGCAATTAAAAAAAAAAAAACTGGGAAGGACAGACTTGACCCTGCACCCCCACTCACAATTAGGTGCTAAAACTAAATTCTCCCTCTACTTTCTAATCTCTATTCTTTTTAAATACTTTACCTCCAAGCTGAAAAGAAATAAAATCTGCAACTTTTTTCTTTGAACTAAAAAATGTCATCTCCAAAAGTTGCTCAACAAAATGGAGGATGCTGAATGTTTGCAAGCTTCAACTCTCCATCTGACTGCCTGTGGAGAGCAGCCTCCAGTCCAGTCTTTAAGTCTTAGCTGGGCTCTAAGACAGTCAGATGGACAGTTAAAGCTTCAAAGACCCAGAGACTCCATTTTGTGGCACTAGTCTCTAGTCAAGTAACTTTTGGAAATGATTTTTTTCCCTCCAGTTCTAGAGAAAAAGCTGAAGAAGGATTTTTTTTTTCTCCTCTACTCTTTAGCCTGGAATAAAGGTAAGATTTTTAAAAGGGATAGAGATTGGAGAACGGAGGGAAGTTTAGTTTCAAGACCTAATTGGTGTAGGGGAGAAAGCCCCTTCCCCCAGCTTGTTTTTTTTTTAATTGAAGAAATGTGGCTTTCTGGGGAAGGGAGAGAGGGAGGGGGTTAAATAAGGGAAAGTTTGGGGAAGCTTGTCCTAAAGCTGCTTTTTATGCAATGGCTGGCTTCCCAAAACCAGGCCAGAGGCAGGAGAGCATCACAGCCTCCTGCTGGCCAGCTGACAGGGATCAGCTGATTGGCACAGAAAACGTTGAAAGCAGCTGTCATTTTAGCAAGGAATTATCAGGGCCCCCAAAATGACAGCTGCTTCTAGGAGGTATGGGGAGATGCTCAAGAGCTGCAGGTATGATTGGATGGTATTGGTGGGGAAGAGAAGTGGGGAGTGCTGCATGCCAGTGGTCTGTAGTAAGGGTGAATGCCCACAGTGTCACTGCAGCTGTTGTAACTTTGAAATAGGGTCATAAATAGTTTTGGGGTGTCAGTCATAACTTTAAACTATCATTAAATACTGCATTAACTAGTTGAAGGTTTACCTTTTCTGTAAAAGAGATACAATGAATTGTTGCAAACAGTTTTGCTGTACTCAGTATGAAACTGTAGTGCCTAAAGGAGAGACAGTTTATAGGAAAGTAAAACAAAAAGCTTCTCCAATCAAATTTACAACAAACTACATTTAGCTGAATCTCAATTCAAATCAAATTCCTTTGGAGAAAATAATTGATGCTCTTAAACATAGCAGAATATTCTATGACAACGTTCAGAATCAACTTAGGCCTTCCTAAAGCTAGGACAGCCCTTTGAAGGACTGCAGAAAGGCACATAGTATATCTAGAAATATAATTTGTGTGGTTTATTTTGAATCATAGTTATTATTTTATCGAAGTTCTCCAAATGGTGAAAAGATGTTGAATACTTAAAACAACATTTTTCTAACATTTGTAGAGAGCAAGTGTAGTATGTGTCACCAAAGGAAAACTTTTTTTTATTTTTGGTAGAAAAAGAGAGAGAACTTATCTTTGGGTTTGTAAAATTTCTTTATTTGTTATCCCTTTTTGTTATACTTTTAACCAACCCTCCAATTCTTTTCTTTGCTTCTCCATTTTCAGTACATTAATTTATATTTAGAAACTTGAAATGGTTATAAAGCACTACTATGCCACAACTATACCAACTCCATTAAACAACGCAAAAATAAGGATTATTAGCCCAACTTGTTACTGCGGTAGAAAACCAATAAATAACCCATATCTTGATAGGATTTGGAGATAAAAGGTAAAAGTTTTCCAATGGACATATGACAAATAATGGAGCAAGTCCATGAAGCAATGAGACATTTGGGGAGTTGGAAGTATCAGGAAACAATATCTTGGATCTAGAATTCAAATTTTGATATAGATAAAAACTAAATTTAGGCATGAATTTTCATTTAAATACTTCTGAAATTAGCACTTTCATGTGGTTGGCATGTATAAAAATATATGTTCTAAAAATTACTGAATGAAACATTCAGAGATAACACCAAACAAGTATAGCCAAAAAAAGCAATCCACTCACATGTGTACATCAGGGGGCTTTATTACAGGACTCAGAGCTTATTCTCAAAGCCATAAAAGATCTTCTAATACCACATTTGTATACAAATACCAATAAAAAACTAGTACTACCATGTTTCCCTGAAAATAAGACTGGGGGTCTTATATTTTTTTTGGACCAAAAGATCCAGTAGGGCTTATTTTCAGGGAATGTCTGACTTTGCAGTCGACTGGCCGCTCCCTCCCACCGTCTGCTTGCCTGCAGTGGCAAGGGCAGTGCCAGCAGAATAGACCTTCAGGTGAGTAAAGCAGCGTGAACAGACAGGGGAAGCTGAAGGGCCAGGCGACGCAAGTCTCCCCTGCTGCCTCCCTCTGCCTGCCACACTCTTTCCTTTTGCAAGACGAAACTTCCAGTCTCCATCATTTTTCTGTCTGGGCAAAAAGAATTTGGGTGTCTATAGTGCACTTGGAAACAGAGTGAATTGCTCTATTTCCAAGCACTTCATAGGCACCCAAACACTTTTCAATCAGAGGGAGACTGGAAGCTTTGTCTTCTTGCAAAAGAAAAGAGTGGCAAGTATTGGGAGGTGGCAGGGGAGGTTTTCATCGTCACTCCTCCCTGGCTCCAAAATGGCAGAGGGGGACTGGGTAAGGTGACTGAGCCTCCCCCACCCATCCTCCATAACATGGCAGTCTGGCTCAGGAGGGGAGTGAAAGGGAAGAGGCAGGCAGGCAGCCAGGTCATTCAACAGGTGGAGGGAGGTCGCCGAGCAGGGAATGGCCTGGCTGCGGGGGCCCTGAGATAAGCAGGTGCAAGGCATGTGGGGCAGCTCCATCCCCCCCACCTGCTTCACCTAATCTTGTGGACAGCAGTACCGGTGTGATGCATGCTCTCCTGCCCCATTGCAGCAGCAAGCAACCAGACAGTGGGACGGAGTGGGCGGGTTTTAACTAGGGCTTATTTTTGGGATAGGGTTTATATTAGACACATGCTTAAAATCAGGCTAGGGCTTATTTTCTGAGTGGGTCTTATTTTTGGGGAACATGGTATAAGTCCACAGACAAGCATTTTTGTCAATTACAATAACAATATTAAAAAAGAAAAAAATACTTACAAAGTGTCATTAAAATCAAACTGAATTGGAAAAGGTGGCCTTTTTGGTGATTGCCAAAACAAACCTGCCAATTCAAAGGAAAATAAATTAATTGCTAAAAACAGCAAAATTATATTTGATATAATATAAAATTACTGCACTTACTGCCATCTTTTAATCGTGTATCAATAGGAAATGAATGCAGTAACTGAAGAGCCTAAGTAAAAAAAATAGATAGCAAAGTTCAATGAGCACATATAAATGTTTTTCATTAATAAAAACATGATAAACATATTCTAAAGTCTTACAGATCAGAAACTGCAATAAAATACACAATACAAAACTCCTATTGTACAATTCTTCCCTTGGAAAATTTATTTGAGCTCAATATTCAAATAGTAATTATGATAAAGTAGGTGTATCCAACTTTTGGCTTGTCTGGACTGCACTAAGTCTTTGAAGAGCAATTGTCTTGGGCCATATATAAAGAATTTAATATTGTCATATCATATATCATGAATATAAATAACAAACTTCTTTTAATTTTTGGAGTCTTGTGGGGCTGCATTACTAGATGTCCAGGGCTGGATGCAACCCCTGGGCTCCAGGTTGAACATGCCTGTTCTAAAAATGTTGATAGTAATATATAATTTACTATAAAATAATTTATTTCTTGTAGAATTTTTACCTAATCTTAATCTTGAATACATTTATGAGATTTTTATTTATCAATTTTCCTAATAACAACAGGCTACCAGGAATGTTATGCGGGTGAGTGTCCTAGGTGAGGGGCCAACCTCTATACTTCTTCCAGTTTGTTTGGTTTTTCTGCTTTTGAGGAATAGGAAATTATCCCTCTTCTGCAGTTGGCAGAACTGATACCCTCACACATATGTAAACATACACATTAAAAGCCAGCATTATTTTTATGTGGCTGAAATGAGAGCTAATACATTCTTTGGCATATTTACAAAGATAATTTAGATTAATATTCAAAAGACATCTATGAAAGTTATTAATCAGTAAATGTAGATTTCTAAAAGGCTTCTCCCCCCACTTCAGGTCTTGAAATATTATTCTCTGCATGATCCCCTGCAATGGAAGGATTTCCCCTCAGTTTGGGTATAATGAAATAAATAAAAATAATATTAACTTGAAAATCAAAGACAACCTTAATATCTGCTTGGTTAATATTTCCCAACATTATCTGGGTTCAAAAAATGTTTTAGTTCCCATTACTTTAGCAGTGGAGTTTGCATATCTTTATCAAGGTCATCGTTCTTATTCTGTACAATCAATAAGTTAGGAAATCAATATTTTGAATTATTAATATGAAAGTAGTGATGCTTCCTGATTTATATATTTATAGAGGAGAATATGGACATTTATCTAGCCAAAACAGCTTTTAAAACTGTATAGCTGACCGGTGGCAAATGGTCTTCAAGTTTTTTTAGAATTTCAAAGTCTATTTAATAACTCTGTACATATTAACCATAAATTAAATATTTAAGAATATATAGTTTAAAGAAAATAGCAGGTTTTTTTTATTTTCAGCAGACCTTTCTAAGACAGCGAACTTTGGCAAGTGTTAAAGTTATAGCTATCCCATATCTTCTACATCTAGAATATTTCAGGTTGATGATTTATAGGTAGTCCTCGACTTAATGACCATAATTGTTCCCAAAATTTCTATTGCTAAGCAAGACAGTTGTTAAGTGAATTAAGTGTTAGAACTTTTCTTGCCACAGTTGCTAAGTGAATCACTACAGTGGTTAAGTTAATAGCATAGTTGTTAAAAGAATCTGGCTTCCCTATTGACTTTGCTTGTCAGAAGGTCACAAAAGATGATCACATGTCCCCAGGCCACTGCAACCATCATAAATACATGCCAATTGCCAAATTTAAGAAGAAAACGTATTTAAGAAATCCTTCCAATGACATTTCTAATTGAAAAGAAATTTCAACCTGGGGCTACACTGGAAGTGTTTCAGAAACTATGGCTAGTATAGAATGCAATAGCACAGACAAGTTCTGGAAGCTCTTAGGGTAGCAAATGTAACACCATTGTTGTACGAGCTGCATTGGTTGCAGTTTGCTTCTGGGTCCAATTCAAGATATTGATTATCTTTAAAACCCTTTATAGCATGGGTCCAGGGTATCAGGAGTCACCTTGCCCCAATGGGATTGAAGTAGATACCCCATTTGCTCCAGCAGAAGAGACTTAACATTAATCCCATCTGTCAAGGAATTTTGGCTGGCAGAGTCAGGAAGAAGAGCCTTTCCCTCCACCCTTTGGAACATGGTTACCATTGTAAATGAGATCTGCTCCCATTCTCGTGGCCTTCATGAAGGGCCTTAAAGCCTGGCTCTGCTGGCTGGCTTAGAGTCAGCACCTCCCCCTTGTCACAAGAAGTGGCTGCTGGGGCAACAGAAAAGACTTCTGTCTCATGCCATCTATCCTCTTGGTTTTTAGTCTCTATTAAAAGTTTCATTAATTTTTACTGTATATTTTTATCACTTTGTAAGCTGCCTAGAGTCACTTCAACGATAAGATGAGGGGCATATAAATTTAATAAATAAACGAGTAAGACAATTCAAATAAAGAAAACATATAAATACATAAAATAAAAGGGGGTTATTTATTTATTTTTCACATTTTTAAACTGCCCATCTCCTTCAAAGTGGGACTCTGGGCTGTTACAATAAAAGTTAAAAGAATAAAACAGTATATGAAAATTAAAATTTTAGAATTGAAATTTTAGAACGAGACAAGGAAGACTCTTCAGTTTCCAATAATCTGGATTTATTGCTTAGCATGGAAGTTACAGCGAAGGTTAATCTGATCACTTTTTGATCCTTCAATTCACTAGCCTGAACCAATGTTATACTTCAAAAATGCTATGAGCAAAAGATTAGGACTATTGAAAAACAGAAATTGAATCAAGTGAATTCTTAATCAGGCCAGACGTGGACTAGAAATATTGCTTGAGTTCATGGTGTGAAACAAAAAAATTGGATTAAAGAATTTATATTTGACTTCTTCCTGTACTAAATTAGATTTGGTCTAATTTCACTTATTTCAAAAGCTAGCATTAACTTTACTTAGTTTTACAACATATTCGTAAAATTAATACATATTATCTTACAATTTCCTGCTAAAGTTTACAAAGAGGGAAGTGTAAAGTTGACCTTTTAACTAACAATTATTTCAGTTAAGAAAAAATATTCAACCCTTTTTAAATTGACAGCTGGCATTCAGGACTCCATTCGTGGATCACAGCCTTGTCACAGCAAAGAGGGCTTGCACAACCCAAAAAAGCTATAAGATAAGCTGAGCAGGAACCATTCACAATAGACAGGTTATAGTGGAGAGTTCTGACAAAATGTGGCCCAATGGAGAAGAAAATGGCAATCCACTCCAAGAAAAGTATAGACAGTACCAAAGGTTAAATGATGTAACATCAAAAGATGAGCACCCTCAGGTCAGAAGATGCCCAATATACCACTGAGGAAGAACAGAGGACAATTACAAGTAGCGTCCGAAAGAATGAAGCAGCTGGGTCAAAGCTGAAAGGATGTCCAACAACCGAAGAGGTGACTCTACACATGGACATCACCAGATGGTCAACACTGACATCAGATTGATTATATACTTTGCAGCCAAAGATGGAGAAGCCCCATACAGCTCTATATCAGCAAAAACAAGACCATGAGTTAACTGTGGCTCAGATCATGAGTTTCTTATTGCAAAATTCAGGCTTAAATGGAAGAAAATAGGGATGAATATATAGTGGACGGGATAAATACATTTAAAGGATTACTTCTGGAAGACAGAGTGACTGAAGGATTATAGACAGAGGTTCGTAACATTGAAAGGAAGCAGCAATTAAAACCATCTCAAAGAAAAAGAAATGCAAGAAAGCGGAGTAGCTGTCTGATGAAGCCTTAAGTAAATGAAAGGCAAAAGAGAAATTCCCCAACTGAATGCAGATTTCCAAAGAATAGCAAGGAAAGGTCTTCTTAAAAGAACAATGCAAAGAAATAAAGGAAATAAAATGAGAAAGAAAGAAAATAGAATGTTTTGTGCAAAAATGGACATGTTATGTTAAAGGACAAAAATGATAGAGACCTAACAGAAGCAGAAGAGATTAAAAAGAGGTGGCAAGAGTACACTGAAGAACTACACACGAAAGATCTTAATATCCCTGAAAACCACGATGGTGTGATCACTGACCTCGAGCCAGACATCCTGGAGTGCAAAGTCAAGCATTACTAACAACAAAGCTAGCAGAGGGATGGTATTCCAGTGGAGCTATTTAAAAACATAAAAGATAATACTGCTAAAGTACTGCACTCAATATGCCAGCAAAAATCAGTTTATGTTTCAATCCCAAGGGCAATGCTAAAGAATGCTTAAATTACTGTACAACTGCATTCATTTCACATGTTAGTAAGGTCATGCTCAAAATCCTACAAGTTAAACTTCAGTAATATGTGAACCAACAGAAGTACAAGCTGGGTTTAGAAGGAATAGAGGAACTAAAGATCAAATTGTCAACATGTGCTGGATTATGGAGAAATCAAGGGAGTTCCCAAAAAAAATCTACTTTTGCTTCATTGACTATACTAAAGTCTTTGATTGCATAGATCACAACAAACTGTGGCAAGTTCTTAAAGAGATGAGAATATCAGATTATTTTATCTGTCTCCTGAGAAACTTGTATGGAGATCAAGACATGGAACAACTGATTTTTCAAAATAGGGAAAGGAGTATAACATGGCTGTATACTGTAACCCTGCTTATTTAACTTATACGCAGAGTACATTATGGAAAATGCTGGGTTGGATGAATTGCCAGGAGAAATGTCAACAACATCAGATTTGCAGATGATACCACTCTAATGACAGAAAATGAAGAGAAACTAAAGAGCCTTTTGATAATAGTGAAAGAGGAGACTGCAAAAGTGGCTTGAAACTCAACATTTAAAAAAAACTAAGATCATGGCTTCTGGTCAGCATTTTCTAGCAAATAAGGGACTCCTAAAGATGGCTTTACACATGGACATCACCAGACGGTCAACATAGAAATCAGATTGACTACGTGCTCTGCAGCCAAAGATGGAGAAGCTCTATACAGTCAGTAAAAACAAGACCAGGAGCTGACTGTGGCTCAGATCATGAGCTTCTCGTTGCAAAATTTAGGCTTAAATTGAAGAAAGTAGGGAAAAATACTAGGCCACTCAGGTATGAACTAAATCATATTCCTGATGAATATACAGTAGAGGTGACAAATAGATTTAAGGAATTAGATCTGATAGACAGAGTGCCTAAAGAACTATGGACGGAGGTTCGCAACATTGTACAAGAGGTAGCAACTAAAACCATCCCAAAGAAAAAGAAATGCAAGAAAATAAAATGGCTGTCTGAGGAAGCTTTGCAAATAGCTGAGGAAAGAAGGGAAGCGAAAGGCAAAGGAGAAAGAGAAAGATACACCCAACTGAATGCAGAATTCCAGAGAATAGCTAGAAGAGATAAGAATACCTTCTTAAATGAACAGTGCAAAGAAATAGAAGAAAACAACAGAGTAGGGAGGACCAGAGATCTCTTCAAGAAAATTGGAAATTTATGAAGGGAACGTTTCATGCAAAGATGGGCATGATAAAGGACCAAAATGGCAGGGACCTAACAGAGGCAGAAGAGATTAAGAAGAGGTGGCAAAACTACACAGAAGAACTATACAAAAATGAACTTAACATCCCAGATAACCACGATGGGGTGGTCACTGACCTTGAGCCAGACATCCTAGAATGTGAAGTGAAATGGGCCTTAGGAAATCTGAGCAATAACAAAGCTAGTGGAGGTGACAGTATTCCAGCTGAGCTATTCAAAATCTTAAAAGACGATGCAGTAAAAGTGCTACACTTAATTTGCCAGCAAATTTGGAAAACCCAACAGTGGCCACAGGATTGGAAAAGGTCAATTTACATTCCAATTCCAAAGAAAGGCAATGCCAAAGAATGTTCAAACTATCGCACCATTGCACTCATTTCACGTGCTAGTAAACTTATTCTTAAAATCCTACAAGCTAGACTCCAGCAGTATGTGAATCGAGAATTATCAGAAGTACAGGCAGGATTTTGAAGAGAGATCAAATTGCCAACATACGCTGGATCATGGAAAAAGCTAGGGAGTTCCAGAAAAACATCTACTTCTGCTTCATTGACTATGCTAAAGCCTTTGATTGTGCGGATCACAACAAATTGTGGCATGTTTTTAAAGAGATGGGAGTACCAGACCATCTTATTTCTCTCTTGAGAAACCTATATGTGAGTCAAGAAGCAACAGTGAGAACTGGACACAGAACCACTGATTGGTTCAAAATTGGAAAAGGAGTCCGGCAAAGCTGTATACTGTCGCCCTGCCTATTTAACTTATATGCAGAGCACATCATGAGAAAGGCAGGGCTAGATGAATCAAAAGTTGGAATTAAGATTGCCGGGAGAAATATCAACAACCTAAGATATGCAGATGATACCACTCTAATGGCAGAAAGTGAAGAGGAACTAAAGAGCCTCTTGATGCGGGTGAAGAAGGAGAGTGCAAAAGTTGGCTTGAAACTCAACATTAAGAAAACCAAAATCATGGCATCCGGCCCTCTCAATTCCTGGCAAATAGATGGGGAAGAAATGGAGGTAGTGACAGATTTTATTTTCCTGGGTTCCAAGATCACCTCAGATGGGGACTGCAGCCAAGAAATTAAAAGACGCTTGCTCCTGGGGAGGAAAGCTATGGCAAATCTAGACAGCATACTAAAAAGCAGAGACATCACCCTGCCAACAAAAGTGCGTATAGTCCAGGCCATGGTTTTCCCAGTTGCAATGTATGGCTGTGAAAGTTGGACCATAAGAAAGGCTGAGCGACCAAAGAATTGAGGCCTTTGAACTATGGTGCTGGAGAAGACTCCTGCGAGTCCCTTGGACTGCAAGGTGTTCAAATTAGTCAGAGATCAACCCCAACTTCTCTTTAGAAGGCCAGATCCTGAAGTTGAAACTCAAATACTTTGGCCACCTAATGAGAAGGAAGGATTCACTGGAGAAGGGCCTAATGCTGGGAAAGATTGAGGGCAATAGAAGAAGGGGACGACAGAGAATGAGGTGGCTGGATGGAGTCACTGAAGCAGTAGGTGTGAACTTAAATGGACTCCAGAAGATGGTAGAGGACAGAAAGATCTGGAGGAACATTGTCCATGGGGTCGTGATGGGTCGGACACGACTTCGCAATTAACAACAACAAGATCACTGCAGACAGTGACTTCAGCAATTAAATTAAAAGATGCTTGTTCCTTGGGAGAAAAGCTATGACAACCCTGATTGTCCTTTAGCAGGATAGATACTGAAGCTGAAATATTTTGGTCCCCTTCCCCCCAGTTATATGATGAAATTTTAGGCACAGAAACTGGTTCATATTTGTGGCCTTTTACATAATTTCATGATCACATTACCACAATTTATGATGGTTTTGCCAGAAAGTGGTGTTTACTTCCCTTAATGACCAAATTATTCACTTAACAATTTCCACAAAAAAGTTGCAAAATCAGGTGCAATAACATGGTGACCCACTTAACAACTAGCACAATTTATGGCTGTAATGCTGGGCTCAATTATAGTTGTAGGCCGAGGACCAGCTATATATTGTATCCTTGAACTGTATTTCTGGACTGAAAATATTGCATTGTGGTTGGTTTTTTCTTTAAATTAACTATATCAATGTTTGGTGGATGTTACAGAATAGTAATTAAACAGTTTCTAACAGTAGAAGCTTGTTGGCTAGAGAAATAGGTAAAAAACATTTTAGGCAACAGAGCAATATCCTAAAACCCTGGATTTTGTTTTTGCAGGATATTGTGAATTTTTATGCTGTTTGATGGTCAAACTGCAGTTCTGGATTTCTATGAAGTACTGGCAAGTCAAAGGTGATAAGATAGTTTTCCCACTAATACTTGAAATGATAAGTTTTTAAAAAATAATTATATTAGTTTTATATGTATTTTATTACACTGAACATACTTTAGAAATCAAATGTGGGCACTTCAATCACTTGCCTTATCATAAGAGAACATGTATGAATGGTGCACCAATTATCAAAGATACTGCTCGTGTCATATTTTATTGTCAATTATATATCCCTTTTAGGCTTAAATATCTAAAATCTGTACTGAAACAGCACCCATTGGGACACGAACCATAGTTTTAACCATTCCATCGTGTCTATGTCTTGGAGACTGTAGATAAGTGCTCTCCATGCTACTCTGTCAAGCATAGCTTCTTTCAGTTGTTGGATGTTCATCTTTGTATCAACTACGCTGGTATTAAGCCAACAAGTTCTTCTTCATTCCTAGCATCACTGACTTCTCCAATGAATGTGCACTCATGACATAGCCAAAGTAAATTAGAGGTAGGCGTGACATTTTGGCTTCTAGTGAGGTTTCTGGTTCTATGCGATTCAGCACCACTCTGTTAATTGCTATGGCTATTCATGAACCAAAGACTGCTCTCTTTCCTCTTGAGGTCTAATGCATACTTTGTTAATAAAATTGCTAAGTTTATAGACAAGACAATTCAACTAAGATTCCATTATGTTGAACAGGCCAGGATATTGTGTATAGGCAATATTTTTATTTGAACATTAACTGTTTGTATTTAGCACATATATATTTTAGTGCATTTCTTTTGCCTATTTCAGAAAATATTTTACTTTTGATTAGCCTGACAAGTAAATAAATAATAAACTATATATCTAGCAATGCATTATTTTAGGAGTATATTTTAAAAATGATAGCATAAAAGCATTTTAAATAAATAAATAATCTGCTTTATTTATATACAAAAAAATAAAAGATATTTTTAATAAATGTGATCTAGTTTTATCACTTGTCATTAACAAAAGAAGTAAAGCATTCATACCTTATGATTAAAGTACTTCTCAAATTTTAATCTTGCCAATTCAACACATTGGGACCAGTTTCTTGGTCTTCTACCCAGGGACTTAATCACTTGGAAAGAGCCTTCCAAACTTTCCCCAGATTTTATTCTCTAGAAAACATAAAACCAAGCTTTGAATATATGTCACCAATTACAAGTAAATAAAGCACATATATTTTCACAATGTGTTAAAATAGAATTATAATCAATAGTAAACATGCAAGATAATAACCAAAGATATATAGCATAACAGAAGTTTATATTTTACCCTAACTATATTCAGTATCATTTTAAAATGAAATTTTACCAAATTCATTTCAAAGGATCGTTCTAGTTCAAACCTCTGCATAATTAGCTTTTTGGAAGAATATGAACATGTGCTAAAGATTTAATTATATGAAAACCAATTAATAGTCCCTCAAATATGTAAAAAATACTACATAAAATTTACTTATTAAATGACAAACCTAGTAATTCCACATGTAATTTTAATAATAATTTAGAATATCACCTGTAACACTTCTTCTGCTGATGGATACGTTTGCCAAAACTTGTTAAACAGGGAAGGCTTGTGTGAAAAAGCATTTTCAAACTAAAAAAAAAAAAAATCAAATGTTATGAGAAAATACTACTGCATATCTACCCATTTTCTTGCTAAAAAAAGAAACCAGGACTGCAATTCATTTTTACTTTTTCTTCCTTTCAATGGGAATTGTCTTTCTGATCTGAATGTATCATGCTCATGGTAAAATTTACCTTGTCTCTTGCCCACTGTATTGTGTGTTCAGTGGCAGCTGGAAAAGACTTTATTGTGCAAAATGGTATTTCTTCTTCAGGTGGATCTCGCTAAATATTAAAAAAGCACACAAAAAAGATTGTATAGACAACAGGTACAAATACACTATGATTTGCTATTTCATCTCTAACTCAGTTAATTTCACAGCCTGGATTAAATGAAGTAAATTTTTAAATAGATACATATAGGAGCCAATGTTTTAGCTGATATTATGTATTTTCTTTCAAATAAATATACCTTTCCAGATTAAATGTGTTATTTCAGTAAGATAAAATTAAGACAGTGACAGTCAGAACAATCAATCAGAGGAAAGGCTTGCCTTCAGAATTTGTGGATGTTCCATCACTGGATGAATTCAAGAAAAGATTGGACACCAATTTTTCTGAAATGGTAAAAGGTCTCTTGACTGGAGATGGATTAGAAGACCTCCAAGATCTCTTCCAATCCTGATATTCTATGTTCTAAATAAATCATCTTAGCAATGAAGACAGAATGTCTTCTTAATAAGTAAATTATATTTTCAAAGACAACTAATGTTTATGGAAACCATAAATTCCAATATGGATTGCTAAAGAAAAACTGAATACTAAAATACTTTAGCTTACATCAACAACCAATCTTCTTACTATATGATTTAGTTCTTGATTATTTCAGATATCGATTATAATATTGTGATAGTTTGCTTTTATGTTTTGAATATGTCTAAAATGGTTTCAAAAAGCTGAAGAATTTGATATGTTTGTTCAAGAATACTTTGATCTTATGTACAAAATCTACAAATATCTAATGTCAACTGATTTTTAAGGCATGAAAGGATTATCTATTTCAAAAGAGGTCAAATAAAATTATTGGTCAACCCAAAGGAAAGCATTTTTATGGCCACTTACATGACTATTGTAAGATTCTGTTAGATGAGGCACAATGACTTCTGTATGCCCTTTGGTTCCCATTGTTCCAGAATCTAAGAGAGGACGTAAGCTTGCTAGGCAGCGACTTCACAATGGGAGCAAAGAATAAAATAATTTTTATTGACTCATAATAGAACACAGGGAGAAAAATAGTATGATATGAGTTCAAAACTTAGCTCAGAATATCTGGCTGAAAAGAGAAAAAGAGAACAAACTAATTATAAATCACCACACTGAATTAGATAATTGAATACATTTGTTATTATAACTATTTATATCCTGATTTTGATAGCCAAATGTGTCATTAAATTCTTCCCCAGCACACTAAGCCCCAATTAAGCAATCAAGAGGGAGGGAAGACCATTTTAAGTGTGATTTATTCAAAACATTTCAGAATTGAAATATTTTTCTCTATGCAAAAGAGGAAATTGGTTCAAAGCTTGGAATTCCCTTTTATAATTACCATAACAAAGAAAAGTACAAAGAAAAAGTTGATTAGATAAAATAAAACATCCTGCGTAAAAAAATCAGTTATATTAAGTTAAACATGTTACATGTTAACATCCTACAATACTAAACATGATCATTTAAATGAGATTTAACATCCTGGTAGGTGGGGATTTTAGTATGTTAATTAAGAAAAATCTCATAAGATTACTTAGAGTCCACAAAGAGAAAAAAAACAGATGTTACTAACACTGCAGGAGCTCTTTCTTTTACAATTGATAAGATGCAGGCATCTTGTTATTTATACACACTCGTTTTATTTTTCAAGCTTGGGGAAATGAAAGTAATTTATCTGCTTCCAATTACTGAGACAGGAGGCTTCTAAGGAAAATAATAAAGTACAAGGAAGCCCAAATTGCTAGTATTACATAGTGCATGGTCCTCACCTTGCCTTTAGAAAAAAGCCAAAGATTATAATAATTTATTGTTATGCTGATAGTGGTTTAAATTTTGCAGTGAAAACAATATCAAGGTGATAAATATATTCAAAATTATACTAGAAAAGATAAACCACATCTTAGTACAATATATAAACCTAACAATATGATCTTTTAGGATGTTTTGTTTTGTTTTGTATTGTACAACACATCTTCTATGAAATATAGAATTCTTAGTTCAATAAACCACAGATAAAACCAATTATGGCTTAGCAATTATAGCTATAACACTTAGACTTATATAGCACTTCAGAGTACTTTACACCATTCTCTGAGTGGTTTACAAATGTCAGCATATTGCCCCCAACAATCTAGGGTCCTCATTTACCAGCCTCGGAAGGATGAAAGACTGAGTCAGCCTTGAGTTGGTTAGAATCCAACTCCTGGCAGTCAATAGAATTAGCCTGTAATACTACATTCTAATCACTGCACCACCACTACTCTTATGACTTTCACAATTAACTATATTTATTGTGTAGAAAATGCAAATGTCAAGGACTATACCAGCGGTTCTCAATGGTCAAACGACCATTTCATGTGGGTCGCCAAACAACACAGTCCGCCATTTTTTTCCCCTTTTCCTTAGCTGTGCTACTCCCTTTTATTCTATTGGCTTTTGAAAACCAATATAATAGACTCTCTTGAATAGAGACTAATTCTATTGGCTTTCAAAAGGCAATAGGAACTGTCCAGGCTGTATCTGCCCTGCTGAGCCCGCCAAAAGCCCCAGTCTGCAAACGGTGCTGCAAGTTGTCTGCAGCGAAGGCGAGCTGTCTGGAAGCTTCCACCCCTCCCTGCTGAACAACTACTAAAAATGTAAGTAAAAGAGAGCCAGGGCTGGGAGATGGGAGGCCGGCGGGCGCAGGGAGGGTTGCTGGCGCGCATGGGACCCGGCGGGCGTCTTACCTCCCTTGGGCTGGGCCAGCTGGTGGCCCAGCCAATGGTTGGCCTGCGCCGTCGCTGCCCCTTGCCAGCTACGCCTCGGCCGGCGCAGGGGCAGCACCATGCATGCATGGCGCTCCCGGGCAGGGAAAGTCCTCGACTTACGACCGGTTGGGTAGTCCTCGACTTACGACCGGTTGGGTAGTCCTCGACTTACGACCAGTTGGGGTCGCAGCATTAAAAAGATTGAGAACCACTGGACTATACAAAACATTCAGACTGTTTTAACCTTAAAATGGCCTCTTTGAGGGTTTCAAGATGGAATCACAGTTAACAAGCAAACTAGAAGGAAAGCCAAAATAATTATGTAATTATTACATACATTTATATAAAATTTATAATGACTCACCAAAACAAGCAATGTTTCCATTACTGGGGATTGAGTCCACCAAATAAAGATTTGAAACACAAGGTTTTATTGTGAAGAGTCCTATGAGTAGCTCAGCCCTAAAACATTGATACTACAATCCACATCTTGAATTTAGTTTGATAGGAAAGTGGAAGGCAGTGAAACTGTTTCAATATGTCTAATGACAGACCTCAAGAAACATCCATTCATTACTGAAATTATTACTCATACAGCATAAACTAAATTGTTTTGAATTAAACAAAGTTTATCAATTGTTTTTAATTAAACAAAGCTATATGTAACATGAAGCAATGATTAATGTCAGGAAATTAAAGATAAATTACTACCTGAGGGGGGGAGAAAAAAAGCAGGAAAAAACAAATCAACCTCTGATCACAGATTTACCTGTCAATATACCTCCTAGCTTCCACATTGTCTAATGCAGTTACAATTACATCTTGCTTGGTGTAGAAATCATCATTGTATATGTTCTCAGTAGCTGGGCACACTTTGTTAAGGTATGAGTCTATCTTTATCTCAGGATTGATGCTACGTGTTGCTGCTGCTGCAGTACAACTCTTAGGTTTCTAAACAAAATTGAAGTTAGTTCAGTTAATATTTTTCATGGGAACAATCTTTATAAAATGAAACATCAATAATTTAATAATACAGCATGAGTAACTGCAAATCACACTAATTATAATGGAAGGTAGCAACATTTTAAAGCTAATGGCATCATACCAACATCATTACTTAAAAAAAAATTCCCCAAATCTTGCAATGTGAAGGTTACAGATAGTCCTTGATTAACAGTAATTGGAATTACAATTTCTATTTGTAAGCAATGTGGTCATAAAGCACTATGTCATAAAGCACTGCTTAGCACCTACAATACTGTCAGTCCCCTTTGCCATCATTAAGCAAAAAGGTCATTAAAGAAGGACCTCACCTGACTGCAACTTCCACCTTCCTGTCATCATCCAACAAATAAATCAATGGTGAAGCTGGCAGGAAGTTGCAAGTCCCAGTCAGGACAAGCCTTTCCTTAGGTGGCTCACAAGCAACCAATGGCAGATGAATGCTATAGAATAGGTGTGGGTGCAAGGGGTGATGCAGTGGCACTGCATGAAGGCAAGCAGACAGGGTTGAATGCCATAGCATGAAAGTGAAGGCAGGCTGAAGACTAGTCACTCATCAAAGTAAGTAACACAGATTTTATCAATCTCTTTCTAGGCACCCCCTTTAAAAGGATCAAGATTAGAGGGTAGAGTTAGAGAATTTAGTTTCAGCACATAATTGGAAGGGGGGAGAGAATCAACAAGTCTGATCTTCCCAGCTTTTTGTTTTCTTTATTGAAGAAATTTGGGTTTCTGAAAGAGGTAGGGAATTAAGCAAGGGAAAGGTTTTGGAAAGTTGATCCTAAAGTTGCTGCCTCTGCATGCAGGCAGCTGGCTTTTCAAAGGCTAGCAAGAGCAGGAAGAGGTTTGCAGTCTTCTGACAGCTGGCTGATCAGGGCAGAGGCCCAATCCACAATCTCAACTTCATTGGCCAAGCACAGAGACTTGTTTGGAAGCTTCTCTGGTATTAGAAAGTTAATTTATCTAGGCTCTTCCCCTGCCCCCCCCCCGTCCTCCTCCCGCTGTCTCTCTGCTGGGCTGTCTTTGGCTTTGCAAAGCCTTTTGCTGCTGGTCTGCCTCTTTTATGGATCCAACTGCTGGTGGGCATCCCAGGACCTCCCCCACCAATGAGGTATCTCATGCTCATTTAATGACCATTCATTTGATGATAGCATCAGGATAGCAGGCTGTGGGATCATTAAGTAAGGCTCTTTTGCTTAAGATTATCACCATCTGTGGCCTTAATTGGCAGGTTTCATTAAAATCATAAATCAAGGACTACTTGTATATAATTTAAATATGAAACCCCACCTGTTACATAAAAAGATTATATGGTGAAAAAGAAAACAAAAATGAAACGTATATCCAGCCAGTCAGCCAGCCAGCTATCTGCTGAAACAAAGGACCACATGGTAAGTCGCATAGTTTGTTTGGTACTTATCCTTTTTAGTACTCATCACACCTCCCGGAACTAATTAGTACTCAATTAGATGAATACGGAGGTATTACTGAAACAAAATCCAAACATTTGCTCCACATTTAAATATATGCAAATATAGCTTTCTAGTTCAATTAAAATAGTTATTTTCTGAACAAATCATTGCAATATTTTGTCCTCATCACTCTAACCTACCTGTATGTGATGAGGCCGGAAAAGAAACTGCCTGTTTAAGTTGGACTTTTCTATTAAGTCAGGATCTGTTATTTCAACCTGTATGTTGGACAATTGATGAAATTATGATTAAGCAGTAAAGTGATCAAAACTGTTACATCGGAATCAGTATTTGAAATATTCTGCTCTCTTGTCTCATATCATTGTACGAATGGGAAGAAAATATTTCCAAAATATTGTATGCTGTATTCCTTTACTTCCTTACTAACTTACTTACTAATTATGCAAGTCATCATCCCATTAAAAAAAATCTTTCTTATTAGCTTTTTTCTATACAAGAAACTATACATCAAAAATAATGTGAATTGATTTTTACATGTGAGAACTCAACAATCAAAGCCTGGCTCCAACTTCCACCATAGCCAAGTGATAATGGATTTGTTATTTAAATATTACTGGAAAATGCATTGCCAATAGAGGTAATCCTTATTTAACAACTGCCCTGTTTAATGACCATTTCAAGTTACAATGGTGTTGAAAAAAATAACTTATAAACAGTCCTTGCACTTATAACAGTCACAAAGTCCCTCCAGTCCTGTGATCAAGATTTGGGCACTTTACAATTGGTAGGTATTTATGACTATCACAGTGTCCTGTGGTTATCTGATTGCCATTTGCATGCTTCCAACAAGCAAAGTCATTAGAAAAACCAATAAAATCACAGGTTGCAGAAGTAATGTCATAAATCCATCCTGGACACATGATATTTTGATTAATGACTGTGTTGCTCGTGACAGACTTGCCAGTCCCAATTCTAGTTGTTAAATAACAATTATTTCTACACTTAGAGGAACTGAAATCAGTAGGGAACATGAAACATACCTTGCCTCTTTCTCTGCCTGTACCAACACCAAGGAGTGCAAAATTTTTTAACATTTCACAGCCTATTGCACCACATCCAACCTAAAATGTCAAAGCATAACAATATTATAACATTTCCAACTTTAATTAACACAGTTAAGAATTAGCTACTTTTTTGATAATTTAAGAAAACATATTAACAATTGTCCCTAAAAAGACATAGAGGCACTAATTTTAGAGAGCTTTTGAAATAAGTAATAAGTAATTTTTAAAACAGATGACCTCTAAATTTAATTCCCGAGAACAGATCCCGAATTGTCTAAGCAAAGTAATTTAGCATTCCATTTAAGAAATCCCCTCTGACAAGAGTTAACATCAAAGTCATACTTACTAAGAAAACATTCAGATTCTTTAATTTCTGGCATAAGGAATCTCCAATGCACACTCTTAGGGCATCATATCTGTCTCCCCTATAAAAGTCAGAGGATGTGAAAAAGGAAAAATATTTGAAGAAACATATTTCAAAATTACTTCACACCATGCGTACACAGTTCTTAGAGTTTAAGCCACATATTGGTAACCTACAGGCTGTATGAACATGCCACTCATGTTTTACCCTGTTTACTTATATTTAAAATTAGTATACATGCTTTCAGATTGTATGGAATAAAGCTTTAGAACAGCCTTCTTCAATTTCTGTGTATCTAGGTTAGCTAAGATAATGACAAATTCTAACTCATCTGCAGGACCACAGAAAGGGATTAAGCACTTGATTTAGTAAAACTGTTATCACATATTTTAAGTTTTTAAATTAAGCTTTAAATTGCTAAGTTAATTGCCTTAGCTGCCATCTGTCAATCTACTTGATTTTAGAGAGATATAATCAAGAAAAATAATTAATGAAACCAAAAAAGTTCGTTAAATATTTACCTTGGAAGGAATTCTTCATCATGGGCTTTTTCTGGAAATGTAACTAATTCCAATGCATCAATATACAGCTACAGATAAAAAGAAATGTAATGTTCACAAATTATATTTTAAAACAGCAAAGTCAGATTCCTAATAGGACTGTATATTAGGGCTGCGCAAATTATTTTGAAACACCTTTTTACCATGTGGAATAGAGAAATGAAACAGTCTTCATTAAAGAACTTTATCTTTTCCCAACCCTGAATGATGTGTTAGACAGCTTCCAGTTGTCTCTGCATGGACGCATGTATGCTCTTCTCAGGAAAAATGCAAAGCAAAATGACTGGCCACCCACATGCAGGCAATGACCACCAGAAGCAATTTCCAAAACAAGTAGTCCTTGACGTGCAAGTACAATTGGGATTGTAATCTTGTTATTGAGAAAAGTTATCATTAAGTGAGACACCCATGTGACTGCTTTGCTCAATGACCACAATCATGACTCTCCCAGTTTCAGTCATTAAGCAATCACAGAAAATCATTAAATAGATGAAGCAAAATTGTTGCTTGCCAAAGGAGGGTAAGCATGTCCCCTCCATGCATGGAGCGTTGTTTCTCCAACACACTATAGGAATCCCCTTCCCTCTATGTGCAGAAAGTAACTCTTGCACTGGAGGAACGAATCCTAAAACATTTAACCTTTGTTTCTCCAGTGCAGCAAAGCATTCCCCTGCCCCATGCAGAGAGGGAAGGAGAAATCCTTTGGCAGGCAGCAAGAGCCTGAAATCTTCCCTGCCATTTTCCTGAGAAAGCCAATAGGGAAGACTGTAAATGGTGATCATATGATCATGGGATGCTTAGCAATTCGTTGTAAATGAAAATAGATTGCTGAGTTCTCTGATCACAATCACATAACTGCATAAAGGGACTCTGCAATGTTTTACAATGGCTGGAAATATTTTATGGACCATAAAGCAGTCTTTCTGAGCCATTGTAGCTTCAAACAGTCATTAAACAACCAGTCAGACTACCTATAAATGAACCTGGAAAATGATGCATATTTAGAAGAGAGATACATTCATAGATGCAGTCAGGTGTTCTGAAGTACCACTTTTGAAACATCTGTAAATGCTAAAATATTGCTATATGGCAATATAAAATCTTTAAAATATAATTAAAGTCAGGCAGGAGATGGGGTGGTGTTTATTAAACGATTACGGTATAGATGAGGAAAGCTTATCATATTGGTACATCTTCTTCCATAGATAAATGTTTTTATAAGCAGAAGTTCAATACGCTGTGGAGCATAAGTAAAGTGGGAAAGAAATAGAATAACATAGAATAAAGAAGAATAAAGTAAAATAATAATAATAATGAAAAATCACTAAAAGCAAAAATCATGTCTCTGCATAATCTCTGAAAGCTGTGTTAGACAAAAGCTGTATTAACAGTACATGAATGACCTAATGCATATTTAGAAACATTGTATAAAAGTAAAAACTGCCTCCATTGTATTCCCATGAGAAATGGAGCTAACATGTGAGAAACTATCTGAATGTTACACAAAGTAGATTCCATATAACAATGTAAGATTCCATCTATGCCTCCTTTGTTCCTGAGAAAAAGAAACCTATAAAGCTTTAGTTTAGACCCTCACCCTTGTTCAGAAATTTGTTGATTGTTAAAACACTTCTGAACCTTTTGCGCAAAAATAAAAATCTCTCTTTCATCCTTGGAATTTCGTAAAAGTCCTTTATTTTTTAAGGCTTTATTTTTCCACAAGATTTATGGCGACTTCTCCGCCGGGACATTTTTAAGGGCTTTTAAGAAAAAGGGATTTAACCTTCCAAGACGGATTGCCCTGGTGGGGCCCCCTCTCCTAAACGACGACAGCTCCAAAAGCCGGCTCTGCAGCTCTTGACTACAGGGAGACCTCGACGGGAGGAAAGGGAATTAACCCATCAACGAAGCATTCCAGTCTAAGGATCCGTGAGTGTGACAGACAGGTCTTAAATCAACAAAGGAGTCTGGAAAACGTCTGCAGGCAAGTATTGTAAAGGGGCGTTGACTTACCTGAACGCCTTTTCTCAGCAGGATGATGTAGAGTCCAATGAATGGGTTCTATGACAGCCTTCCTGCCCGGCAGACTGGGTAAAAACTTTGGCCACACCCCTTCCTCTGGGCGTGACCCCAGTTTTGACTTAGGCGAGAAACTTTGTTGGAATCAATATTGCAGCTCTTTATTACCTACCTGCCTAGACCTAACCCCTGGGTGGGCTTGGACTCTACATCATCCTGCTGAGAAAAGGCGTTCAGGTAAGTCAACGCCCCTTCTCCAGCAGGATGGCTGTAGAGTCCAATGGATGGGACATACCAAAGCCCTCATGTCCCCATGGGAGGGAAAGTCTAGGCTACCGAATTCTGAGCAGATATGACTTGCTGTAGCACTCTTCTACCAAAGGCAGCATCTGATGCGGCCAGGGAGTCTAAACGGTAATGCCGGATGAAGACAGACGGTGAAGACCACGTCGCTGCCTTACAAATTTCTTCTACCGGCGCTTGTGTTAGCCACGCCGCCGAAGTGGCTGTGCTCCGTGTTGAGTGGGCAGTCACATGTGCGGGTGCTGGTAGTTCCTGTGAAATGTAGGCCTGGGCTATGCAGGCTCTGATCCACCTACCTATGGTGGAAGAAGACACCTTCTTTCCCATAGATGATGGTTGAAAGGAAACAAATAATGCTTCTGTCTTGCGGAATGTCAACGTGCGTTTCACGTAGAAACACAGCGCTCTACGCACGTCCAGCTTGTGCCATCTATGCTCTAGCCTGTGTTTGGGTTTTGGGCAGAAATCGGGAAGAATCAATTCCTGAGATCTGTGAAAGATGCTGTTTACCTTCGGAATGAAGGCCGGGTCTGGCCTAAGGACGACCCTGTCCTTGAAGAAGGTACACAGATCCTTCCTTACTGATAGTGCCGCTAGTTCTGAAATTCTCCTTGCTGAAGTGATTGCCACGAGGAAGGCCACCTTCAGCGATAGGTGGTGAAGAGAACATGAATCAAGGGGCTCAAATGGTGCTGATGTCAAGGCTAGAAGGACTTTAGGCAGGTTCCAAGACGGGTACCTGTGAATGACGGGGGGCTTTGTGTTGGACGCCCCCTTTAAAAAGGCGCTAATCGCTGGATGTTGCGCTAGGGATGTCAAGTTGTCGCAAGAGAGAACAGTTGAGAGGGCCAAGATCTGTCTGCGAATAGTGTTGACTGACAGGCCCTTGTTAAGACTCTCCAGGAGGTAATCTAGAACATTGGGGATGGATACTGCAGCTGGATCTAGGCGCACAGAAGCGCACCACCTATAAAAGCCTTTCCATGTAGCATCGTAAATCCTGTTTGTGGACGCTCGTCGTGAAGCTTGTATGATCGATATCACCCCTGCCGAGTAAGCTTGCTTGGCTAAACTTTGCCGCTCAAATGCCAAGCAGCTAGTTGTAGCCACTGGGGGTCTGGGTGCACCAACTTGCCCTGGCTGAGAGTTACTCTGTCCGGGGGAATCCTCCATGGGGGTGATATCGAAAGGTCCACGAGGTCGACAAACCACGGGCGCCGTGGCCAATGCGGGGCAATGCAAACTATCTCTGCGCCTTCCTGGATCAGCTTGCGTATGGTCGCTGGTATTAAGGGCAACGGTGGGAAGGCGTACAGGAGATGCGCCGGCCATCGACACCTGAGAGCATCCGTTCCCTCCGACCCCGGAGACGGGAATCTGGAGAAGAACCTGGGGAGTTGTGTGTTCTTGTGGTTGGCAAATAGGTCCAGGTGCGAATCTCTGGGAGATCTCCTCGAACAGAGCCGGATCCAGGCGCCATTCCGCCTGATCCACCTTGGCTCTGCTCAGGGAGTCTGCCTGGCTGTTTGCCTCCCCCGAGATGTGTTCTGCTTTGATAGAACTCACGTTGGTTTCTGCCCACTGAGCCAGAGCTAACGCCTCCTTCATTAGTTCCGCTGATCGCGTTCCCCCTTCCTTGTTTACATGGGCCTTGGCTGCTACATTGTCGGTTAACACGAGGACGTGCCTCCCTGTTACTAGATGTGAGAAATGGCGTAGGGCCAGGTGGATGGCCCGGAGCTCTAGCCAATTGATGCTGTGTGAGAGGTCCTTCTGGTCCCACTGGCGCTGTGCTATCTGGGTTCCCAAGTGGGCTCCCCATCCGAACAGGCTCGCATCTGTCGTGAGCGTGACCCTGTTCGGCTCTTTGAATATGCTCCCCTTGAGTATCTTGGGAGATATCCACCATTTCAGAGATCTCATCACCTGTGCTGGTACCAAGACCTTCCTGTTGGAGGTGCTGAGATTCCTCCTCTGGTAGGGTAGGAGGAACCACTGCAACTCCCTCGAGTGGAGTCTTGCCCATGGTATAATGCCCATGCAAGATATCATCTTTCCCAGGAGTTTCGAGAGCTGTATCAAGGGCACTCTCCTGATTCTCTGAATTTGTTGAATTAGCTTGGATATGCTGATTCGTCGATCCTGGGAAAGGTATACCCTGCACTGTGACGAGTCTATTACTGCGCCTAGGTGTTGCAGTCTCCTTGAGGGAGTGAGATGACTTTTGGCCAAATTGACCGAGAATCCATGCCCCTGCAGGGTTCGGATTGTGGTCTTGAGATCTACCCTTGCTTGTTCCTGAGATCTGGACTGGATCAAGATGTCGTCCAGATAGAACTGTACGCGAACCGGCATCAGTCTGAGATGGGCCGCTATTACAGCTAGAATCTTGGTAAATACCCTTGGCGCTGAGGATAGTCTGAAGGGTAGGGCCCTGTATTGGTAATGTCGGCCCGCGTAGGTGAATCTGAGGAATTTCCGGTAGCTGGGATGAATGGGGATGTGTAGGTACGCCTCTGTTAGGTCTATTGAGGATAGTAGATCCTCTTCCCTGACGCTGGCTAGGATGGATTTCAAGGAGTGCATCTTGAACCTCCTGTATTTTATGTAATAATTCAGGCCCTTCAGGTCCAATATTGCTCTCCATCCTCCTGACGGCTTCGGGATAACGAAGAGGATGGAATAAAATCCTCTTCCTTCCTCTCCC